ACTTTTAAATTTGACCATATTCAATTATTGATACGTAGAATGGCCAAAGAAAGAAAGTTATAAGGACTTTTTCTCGTGTTCTTTCTTTTTTTAGAATACCGATGTTCTCAATTTTTCAGTTGTAAGATCTATATCAGAATTCATCTGTTCTGCATACTTTTTTAATCTGATATGATTTTAACCAGATTTAATGACTGAAAAAACAAAAAACACTAGTGTTTTTTAAAAAAAGACACAAGAGAAACTCTCAAAACTATATGTTTTTTTTTATATATTTATTTTAACAAAGAAGGAAAAGGCTATTCAATCTGTAATAGTTTCCTGAGTTCCTATTTTGGATTATACGCACTGCTCAAATCAGAGCATGTCAAAAAAAGATTTTGACAAAATCTCTCAATACTATTTGAGTGAAAAAACGTACTTGCGGATTGAAAAGAAAAATGACAACACTGAAAGTTATAGATAATTTAATAAGTGCATGTATGTATATCAGGCTCTCCAAATGTTTATACATGTTTTTGTGTGGTCAATTTAGCTGTCATCAAAAGCAGATGAGTTGCACACAAAGGATTTGGACTTTGGATTGTCCAATTGATGGGGTCCCTATGAACGGTCTCTATGTCCAAGAAGATAAGTTTTGAGTTGATTGAGATGAACTATCCACGACCTGCCAAAACATACACTATGCCTGTTTGTCCACAAAACAAAACAAAAAAAAAATAAAAAAATAAAAAAAAATAAATAATAAAATAAAAAATCCCCCATTATTTTCAATTATTTGAAATGATCAAGTCGTAATATTATTTCCCTAAGTTGTTTCTGAATCTCCTGCTATAAGCCCGTTTAGCAGAGCTTTTTCTTTTGTTTTTAGTCGGTAGTAGAAGAAGAAAAATAAAAATTGTAATTTTTTGATAAGTGTTTAGAATTAAGAGTTTAATGGATAAGAATGATTCTTAAATTTTTTAATAAACAATAAAACTGTTAGAATTAAGTTTATAATGCATTAATTAAACTCTAATACAAGTTTCAAAGTCTATTTAAAAGTATTTTTTTAAAAAAAAAATTACAATTTCTCACTTTAACTGAAAACTCTTTTAAAAAATTAAAAACACTTTCGGTAAATCATTCAAACATTTTCAGAAGCAATTTTTAAACCTAAAATGCTAAAGCAACTTTTCAAAAGCTTTCCTAAACAGACCCTATATAGCCACGCTTCCTTTTACTTGCTTCTAGGAGCTTGTTACAATAAAAACATTTTTATCTGTAATTTGTGCTCTTAAATGTCGTACTATTAGATTAAATTCACGCCAAAATAGGAAGGTACATAAAATTGTCATAACTTGACAAAAATATGATGATTCAAAATCGTATCGTATCTTACTAACAAAAAAAAATTATTTTTTTATTCAATTTCATCGTCCATAACTTGTCTGGTTATCAACCATAACTTGATAAGTTATTATCCATAAATCACAATTTTTGTCCATAACTTGTCTGACTATGAACCATAACTTGACAAGTTTGTCCATAACTTATCTGATTTTGAACCATAACTTGACAAGTTATGACCTATTAATTTCTATAACTAAAAGTTGGCCTATATACTTCCTTAAGCTTTTCATATTGGCCTACTTTCTACTATTTTAATTCACACCAAAATAGTAAGGTACATAAAATTGTCATAACTTAGACGAAAATATGATGATTCAAAATGTATCGTATCTTACTAACAAAAAAAAATTCATTTTTTTGTTCAATTTCGTCGACATTGTTTTAGAGTAGTAACAATAGAAAATAGTTGATGAACTATAAGTATAACCATTAATCTCACTTCTTTTTTTTTTCTTTCATTTGACATGACACATTTGTGTAAAATGAACTTTCTATATACTGATTAAGATTCTCATGTCGGAAATGATCCTTAGTTAGGAGAAAAGGAGAGAAAAAGAAAGATTTAGGTAGCATGTTATAATAAAATATACTATAGTCGAAATTTAAGTATTGATATATATACACACCTTTTCTTTTTTTTCTTCTTTCTCTGGAAAGTTGTATTGATATTTTTCTTTTCTGAAAAGTAAAAGGTCAGTCTAGCTAGACAAACTTTGAGATTCTCTGAAAATGGTTTAATATTAACGTGATTTTGTCTAGTCTTATATATGGCTATCTATACAACCTTTGCATTTGGCATTTTCAACGTCTTTTTTTTTTTAATTAAATTTATTTTATTTTTCTACATTAAATTTACGTATATGCTTTTGTGGGTCTTCCATATTTTTACATTATCATGAGTATATACTACTCCCGCCCCACATGGAAGAAATGGTGAAAAAAAAATGATGTGATCAAACGCAAATAATTAAGTTGGATATTGATAAAGAAATGCTAGATCATTGCTAAACGACAAGTTTTCCGGTATTAGTCTTACCTAAACCAACCAACTTTACAATAAAATTATGGTATAAAAATATGGTATAAAAATATGAAACTATGAAAGCATCTAATTATTTTCCTTTAGTTGTTGGTAATCTCTCCTTGGATCCTCTCTGTTTGTCTCTCCATTCCGCCATTTTTGACAAGGGAAAAAAAAAAAAAAAAAAGAGGTAAAAACCAGGCTTGGTTTTGTTATAATATTTTAACCATCTAAAACTTTTTTTGTTGTCTCCTTAGGCCAAAATTTTGGGTTTTCCAATGCTTTTGCTTCGTACAATACACACAAACCAAAATATGCAGATCACTTTAAGCTTCCAACCGTTGAGAAAAATGTAAAATTTTCGGCTCAGGCTCGTTATTAAAAAATAAATAAATAAATGAAAACCCAATTTTGTCATTTGCATATCATCAACATGAGCGCGATATTCCAAAATTATATTGGCTGAAGTATTTTCTAAGGTCTCGTTCACTTCGTAGAAATTTTTCTTTATCGCGGCGATTTCAAAGTAGATATTAAAATTTGTCTTCTTGGGGTTATTTATGTATCAGATCGATTCCGATCTTTTTTTTTTTTTTTGAAATGCCGAATTATAACCCTTTTACTAGTTACATCTATAACTTCTTTTCTTCCTTTAATTCCTTGTCAATTAAAACTCAAAATTAAAGAATACATAAATGTTACTCATTGCACTTGGAAATCTTCACATGTAAAATAAAATGTAAGACCACTAGATCCCATGTTATCGCACAATAATGGTAGTTTACATACATATATATTTTATTTGATAAAACGAACAGATTGACTACAAGAGCTTTTAAAAGAAAGTAACATTATGACCTAGAAATGGATCTCATTAAGTTTATTGATCATCATCTTCAACTACTGTCTAAAAAGGAACTAATGAAAACTTAAACACCACAAATACACCCCACTCCTTATCAATGTGATACTCACCTCAATGGCAGTTTTGATATATTGATAGATACATTATAGTGATAAGAATAATATGATATTTTAAATTGGAACGAAAAGCACGTACATACATATATATATATATATATGTATGTATATATATATATATATTATAGCTTTTCTTTGTCATAACCAATAAAGCTGGCCCAATTAGACATACCACAATCTCTTGGCAAATACAAATTATCACTTCTACTTCTCTCAATAAATTTAAGATTAAATCCATGTTTATAGTAATGTGTGCGAAAGCTAGCTCCCCCGACATGCAGGACGCTTTATCGTTTAGCAGGACCACAAACAAATTGGAGGACAATAAACCAAACTTTGCTCGCACTTGCCAATAAACTAGCAGTCAAGTAAACATTCAACAATAAAAACAAAAACAAAAACTATATATCTATTTCTAATTAACCACAAGACATGTTCTTTTACTGTTTACATTACAATCACAACGACAAGAAGAGATCAGATAAACATAAACATAATGCATCGAGACATTAAACTCTTATCCCACGCTTTCCTTGGTTTTGTGATTATCAAAATCCGTTTTTCCTTTGTCCTCATAGATGAAACATCCTCATTCAACCAAAGCCCCGTGTAACACATAAATTAGCTAAACATTAGTAGAACGCTTTATGTTTTGCTACTTAATATATGTTCCTCTTCTATCCGCCTAAGAACATCTGAAGTTACCAATATACAAAACTTTTATTAATCATAACCACGGATGATAAGTTACATACTAATTATGTGATCAACATATTATTACATAGGACCCCATAACAGAAATAATTGGAGCCTATATCATTTTTATGCGTGAAATAAGCTTAAATTTTCTATAAAAGTTGTATATTTGAATGTCAACTCTATAAAATGATATTCCTCTAATTCACCTCATGGCCATATCCATATTACTGGGCTATTTTCTTACTTATCTAATATGATAAAAAAAATAAACTACCGATCATTTTTTATTTTTAAGCATTAAATCTGCATAAAACATAAAAACACTTATGTGGTGCATATTTTTTAAACGAAAATAGTAGAAAATATGCCAATATGAAAAGTTTAAGAAAGTATATAAGTCAATTTTTAGTTATAGAAATTAATAGGCTATAACTTGTCAAGTTATGATTTATAACCAGATAAGTTATGGATAAACTTGTCAAGTTATGGTTCATAGCCAAACAAGTTATGAAAAAAAACTGTGAATTATGGACAATAACTTGTCAAGTTATGATTCATAACCAGACAAGTTATGGACAAAAACAGTAATTTAACCTATTTATTAACTTATATAAACTATTGACCTATTAATTTTAATTCATCTTAAATCTTAATATATTTATCTCTTTCTCTCTTTTTTAAATTTGATATGATTTTGACAGATGTAAAAACTGGTACTAAGGAGAAAGTCCCTCTTCTTATGCATCTCTATTAATAAATTATTAAGACTAATTATACATTCCTTAGAAAGGACTAATAATAATTAACCAAGCACTGCCTTTTCAAAAAACAAAAAAAAAAAAAAAATCACTGATTTATATGCAAACGAGTCCAAAATAAAAAATTATGATTTGTACATTAACCGTGCAATTCATACAATATTGGATAGGGACCCACGTAACAAAAGTAGCTAATAATAATACTAACAATATTATTAAACAAAAATTTTAATTCCCAAACTGTTACATGCTCAACCGCCGCAAACGGCTGCGCTGCCGTCGGTGCTTGAGTTCACGGTGCCGACGGCCTCTATCGGGCGCCGACAACATGTCGACGATGATGTCGCTGAAGGCGCTGATGATGAACTTGTGTGTGTCTCTAGGGTTCAAACTCAGAAAACACAAGAGAAGCTCATGAAGATACTCCAAGTCACTAGTACTTTTATCATCGTGATCATCATTCCTCGCGTCGATCATCTCCTGCATGGACCGCCGGAAATCCACGTAAGGGTCCACAGAGTACTTCCTAACCTCGACTCCGTCGAACGGTGGCGATATTCCGGCGGCGGAGACGGTGGGTTTTGAGTCCGTTATGGAGTTTGAGTTTCCGGGGGAGGAGAAGAAGAAGCGCTGGGAAGCGAAGACGTCGGCGAAGTCCGGCGGAGAGGAGTTGTCGGAGTCGTCGGCGTCGGACGAGGAGGAGAAGAAGTCGTCGGTGGCGGCGGACTTGGAGGTGGACCCGGCAGAGCTGGCGGCGGCGAGATCGACGTAGTTGTAGAGGGAGTTGAAGTTTTTGACGACGGATGATGAAGAATACGACGAGGAATGCGACACGTGGCGGTCGTCAGCGTCGGCGTCGGAGAGATGCGACGGAGCCTGGGTAGTGGTTGTGGTGGGGAGGCATTTGGAGATGGAGAAGGTGCAGAGAGGGAAGGTTTTCTTCCAAAATGTGTTGGACATGGTGTGGAGAGAGCTAGAGAGAGAGAGAGAGAGAGAAGAAGAAGATGATCAGAAGGTGTTTGATGTTTTGTCTTCTGTGGTGAGAGAGAAGACAGGGAAAGAAGAGAGAGAGAGAGAGAGAGAGAGAGAGAGAGAGAGAGAGAGAGAGAGAGAGAGAGAGAGAGAGAGAGAGAGAGAGAGAGAGAGAGAGAGAGAGAGAGAGAGAGAGAGAGAGATTAAGGGGGTCAGAGAGAGAGAGAGTGATTAAGGGGGTCAGAGAAAGTAAGTTTGTCAATTTCTTTGTTCTGATTTAGATCCAATTTTTTAAGTGAATTCTGCGTGTGTGTGTGTGACCCAAATGTCCAAATTCAGTGTTTGGCTGATAGCAATAATTTTTTGTATTGGGTTATATATCCTCCTTTTTCTTTAACAAATCAAATGGAAAACACTTGTCAAAACTAAAAAAGAAAAAAGCAAAACAAAAAAAAAAACTTGTATATATATCCTCTACTTAACCCGCGACTTAGGTGAAATAATGTGTTTGAGATGATGATCAGGCCATATAAATGTGGTTTATATCTATATAGAAGTTTGTGAAAGTAAAAATCTCATTTATTTTACTGATTTGAGTTTAAAATTTAAATTTTATTATAATAAAAAATTTTAAAAAATAGTCACATTTAACTTTTTTATTACAGTAAAAAACTCTCACATAAAGTCACATCTCAATTCAAATTAAAAACTCAAATCAATAAACTAAACGGGCTCAAAATATCTCCGCTTTTTTATTCTAATTATTATTCACAACACACAAGCTACCTATGAGATGATTATTACATAGGGAATTGGACCAATATATTGGATCAGTGTCTAATGGAACCAATAGCTAGAAATCTATTTCCAATAATGAAGTGATAACGAACCACGTGAAATATATTTTCTTAGTTTAGGGCTTAAATTCATTTTCGAGAGTCTAATATTGTTTGGTATAATTAGCCATTTAGCCTAACAAATCAAACCATAATACAAAGAAAGAAAACACCGATAACAAATCAAACCATATTGTTTGATATATGACTTTTCTTTTGGATCCGACAATATGATTATTACAAATTAGTCAAATTAATTACTTTTTTACCTGTCTCCCACCATGCATGATCTCATAGTCCTGCACTAAACTTTTTTGCTTCCCTACCTTCGTACTAACAATATAGGGCATAGCTAGTACGTAATTTGGTGAATGTCAAAAGGCTTTAAAAAGCACGTCGTTGCGATCATGATTACCCTATCAACCAATAGTGTCTAACCGAGGAAAATTCTCAAATGTTCCATCGTCCATGCAAAATGAACATGATGAGATCCCATTGTCAATATTTCGAAATGTTGCTTTCAAATTAATGAGATATTTAACGACTAATAAGACTCTATTTTGCCCTTAAAAGAAAATTTAGGCTGTATTTACCACCGTTAAACTAACATTAAATCTCTTAATTTTACACATTCGTTTTGTTTTGGTATAATTTTAATAAAAAATCTGACGTTCAAAAATACGTGTTTTTGTTGGAATTTTACTGTCAAATGCTTGTCAAATCAAAAGAAATCTCATATCATATTTATGGCCCTATTTTGAATGATTAAACTCTATTAAATTCTATTACTTTTATATACTCTTTTAGCTTTCATACAAATTTGATCAAATTTAACTTCAGAAGCAAAGACTTGTGATAAGAATTTTATTGTCAAATGCTCGTCGTTCTCAAATTATCAACCTCACTCTTCTTCATTACACTCACAATATTCATCATTCTAACGCTCTCCATGTGTTTCTATGACTAACTAATAATAGTTGCTAATTAGTTGATTATCTAGTACCATGTACTTAATTTATTGTTTTGCTTGATTTCCCATGCCGACTAGAAAAGTCCTAAACCTCTTTACCATATTCAAAAGCAAAACTCCCCATAGTAGAAGACCCCGAGGATGTTTGGTAGAGGAATTCGTTCCCTGATTCGAATCATGATTCATGGTTCGCTACAGTATTTTCTTTTATAAAAAATTCACGTAAATCAAAAATAATTCAAATCACATAGTTTGAATTCTCCAATCAAACGTCTTCAATCGGCCGGAACCTAATTTGGTCTACATGTGTATGATGGTTATTGTTCCACATGGGCTCAATGTTATTTGTACGAAAGATCTTTCTACCGAGTAATGAGAATCAGCACTTTACTTTGTCCATTCACATCAACCATCAAAATTCAGCACTTTGTCCCTTCACATCATGCCATCAAAAAATACAATGGCAAGTGACCGCACACTCACGCAATGATGAACTCCTGAGTCAACGCACCCAATGTTTAATGTACTTGAATTCTACTTGATAAGCAACCAACGCTTACACACGTACGTACCTATATATTATTAGGCACCAATGGCTACACACACCTAAATAGGTATAGCCACGTGAATAATTTGTGCCTAAATCTTGTTTTTAGTTTGTAGTGACAATTAACAATTCTTTTCATGTATATTGAGAACGTATAATAATTTTCATGTATCACGTCTTTTTATTTATGTTTTCCGAATCTTTCTACAATAGACTACCCTACTTATACTATACATTTATAATTCTTTAGTTAGGTCAGATTAAAAATATTTTTTTGATACAGATTTAATCGTTTAAAACATTGCGATGGACTATGCTATCGATTCAATACATTTATAATTCTTAAATCTGGTCATTCTATATAGATTTGATAGCTAAAATGAGTACTGAATTTTATAGGTTCTGCTGTGAAAATCTCCGTGTCTTTTAAGGTGCGTTTGATAGTGCTTCTTAGAGCCTAAAATCACTTCTCTAGTCATCAGAAATTGATAATTGTGTTTGGTAAAATCTATAAAAAGTGATTTTTAAAGAATTTTTGAAAAATCTACAGTCAAAATCAGAAGCAGCCCAAAGGCAACTTTGACTTTTAGGTTGTGCGAGAATCATCATAGTACAATTAATGATTATCAACAAAGTTATATTAATTAATTAATAATTAATTACTAATTATATTATGTATTAATTAATAATTAATAAATAGATATACTTAATAACTAATAAATAGATAATAATTACTTAATTATTAATTAAATCTTAATTTATTACTATTATGTTTTTAATTTTGTTAATAAAATAATAAACAATATAGTAATTATTTATTTAGTTAAAAATTAATTGTCAAAAATTAATTATATAACATATTAACAATAAAACAAGTAATAATAGGTTATTAAATAAATAATTAATAACTAATATATCAATCATATATTATGTTAATTATAATTTATTAATTAATAAATAGTAATTACTTAATTAATAATTAATATTAAATTATAATTATCAATATGTAATATATTAATCAATAATAATTAATAGGGAGAGAGAGAGAGAGAGAGAGAGTCGTGGCTCTTTCCTCTAATTTCTGTTTTGCAGGATTGCATTATTGCGTATTATTTGTCATCGACGGCAGAACTGTTTCCTTTACAATTGACTCCTGCACGTTAAGAGACCTATTTAGGTAAACCTAAATGGAAGGCTGCTCACCAGAGCTCAGCTCCTCTTCTTCCAAGAAACCAAGAAGTGTTGACTTTCTGACTTAGATTTTTCACCAAGTACTGTAAAACCAACCCTCTCATTACTGGGTTCCCACGCTGCCTTTATTTCCACTTTCTGTCAGCCCAATTTCTCAGGCTTTTATCATTCACAAATGACGTAATTTCATAATTTGGATTTTGTAATTATCTTACCAGGCTTATCTCGTAGACCTCAATCTCATGGATATAATAAAAATTATGCCTTAAATCCACAAATAATTGTGTTCTCTTTTAACAAGAGACGTGCTTAAATTGTGTGCGTGTGTATACAATATAACTCGTTATATATATAGTCGTCTAAAGGTTGATTAAACGCAGATATTTAGCGAGATACTTTATATCATACGTGATAATACACATCAAAATACATCCAACATTGTTCCCTTAAAATACATCCAACATTGTCATCCCTCACAAAAAAGCAAAAAACCGTCCTAGTTGGAGAAGCTTGCCGGTCGGTACTAGGAAAATGGTCGTGTTTATATGTTTACACCCTCGTTGAGCCTAGCAGCCACCGTCACCGATGCCACAATCCGCGCTCACCACTCCCTCTGCGTCCTGCGCGCCTCGTCGCAGCCTTGTCCGCCGGCAACTTAGAAGTAGCATCCTAAACATGATGCATTCATAATATTAAACATATGGCATTAACATGCATATTAATAAAGATGTACAGCATTCACATAATATATTATTAATTAAAGACCTAATTATTCTCGTAAGACCAAAGATCACGTTACACATCGCATTAACATGTATCAAGTTCGATACATTGTTCTCGTAAGACCAAGGATCGAGGATCACACGATAAAACTGCTAGGAAATTACGTTTCTTAATTATAATTGTGGGTCATATATTTATAACAATTATATTGACACTATTTAATTAATTAGTTGTGGGTCATATATTTATAATAATTATATTGACACTATTTAATTAATTAGACTAATTAAGTTGTCTAATTATAGAGAGCCCAATTAATCTTCTCTAACTGAATATGGGCTAAATGAATGGATATTTAATATTGACCTAATTATGTTTAATAAGAACCTAATGAGACAATATATAAAGAAACTTAGATTAGGGTTCCCAATACGTCAAATCATTTGACCGTTTTTTTTCTTCTCGAGAGAAGACTCATTCAAGAATCTGGTAATTTGACTGAGAAAGACAATAAATTATTTAGTGTGATGATTGTGGAATAAGGATTAAAGTCCAACAAAAACCACACAAAATTGTCACATTGAAGGCAAAAGTTGTACCCTTTTTACATCCTATATCCATCACTAGTGGAATTTTAGTATATTATAGCAATTTTATAACGTTTATAGTACCGTGAGGATATCTCTGAGCTTAATTTTGTTCTCATCCCGTTCAATTGCAGCATTGAAAGACGCCGCAGATTGAGCTGTGGCGGCTAGCCCACCGGGAGTTATAACGTTACTGCCGGTTGCTCTAACCTCGGCCGCTTGAATGGCTGCTGCGTCGCTCTGGTCCACCGGCTTATCGCCGGCGGTCTTGGCCGTTGCTTCTAGTGCCTCTCCTATCGTAATTGCGCTCACCACCGCCGCCTGCATCGCCGGCGTTGGCTGTACATACTGGCCAACAACCTAACAAAACCTAAATAATATAAACAGAAAATAAAGAACCAATTGGACTGAAAAAATAGATCAACTATCTTATCAGTGGCACACTAATATATTCTTAAAGAAAAAATGCGCCTGTACTTGTATGACATTAATTTAAAGAGAACAAAATTAGAAAAAACAAAAGCAAAGAATACCATTTCCTGCCGTAGTGTTAAAAAAGCTCAAAAAAATGTGTCATGCGACATTAATTTGTAAAAATATTTCCGATTTATTATAATATATATATAATAACATATATAAAATGATCTGATTATTGAGAAAAATATATACATATTTAAATGATTTGGAAAAAGCATAACACTATCTGTGATAAATAAGTCGTTTATTATTATATATTTTTTAAAATAATTCGTTAATATATAATCTTGAGGTTTGAAAAAAAGGAAATAAATTAAAGCCAACTTGCTAACCATGCAAAAAAATAAAAAATAAAATAAAAAATAAAATAAAAAATAAAATAAAATAAAAAAGAAAGAAAGAAAGAAAGAAAGTTCTAAAAGAAAGAGAGACCTGTCCAGCAACAGATTCGGTTACTATACGGTATCCGGGCACATCAGTCTCAGTTACGCTGACACCGCGGTCTTCGGCTGCATCAGATGCATCGACGTGGCCAACGACACCAGCTCTCTCGTTTTGCGTCGCCGCCGATTGCATGGTGGCGGCGGGGCCACCCTTCTGGGTCTGTCCCAGCACCGTCGTCTCAGCGCTCTGCATCATGGCCGCGTCCCGAGGCGCCACCGTCTTGCTCGCCAGCTCCCCGGAGACGTTGAAGACGTCGCCGTATTTCACAGCTTCCTCGTCCCGGCCGGCCTGAGGCCTCCGTGGCTGTTCCTGACTCTCTCTTTTTTTTTTTTGTTTTTTTTTTTCGTCCCTTCACTCCACTTCCTTTGGTTTTTCTTGTAAACGAGATTTTTTTGTTGTCAGACGGTTCAATTCGTTAATTTAAATTTTTAAATTGAGTTGAGATATGATATTATGTGAAAATTTTTTATTCTCATTCACTTTGTTGATTTGAGTTTTTAATTTGAGTTGAGATGTGATTTTATATGAGAATTTTTTACTATAATAAAAAAATTAGATGTGATTATTTCTGAAAATTTTTTACTATAACAAAATTAAAATTTTAAACTCAAATCGACGAAATAAACAGAATCTAAATATAACAAAATTTAAATTTTAAATTTAAATCAACCAAAAAAAACGGGACGGAGATTTTGACACGTTTGACTTAGTGGAACGTGGCAAATAACAAAAGAAAACAGCTTTGATGTACACGTGTTGGCTCGGGGTTAGCTCTTCTGAGGAGAACGATCCACCGTTTGTAAGGATGACGACACTTAGCACGTACTGATGGCACAAAACTAGGCTACCTGTGATCGCTTAGAACATCGTAGTTTTTTTTTTTTTTTTTTTTTTTTTCCTGAATGTTAACTGTTCATTTTCTAGTGTGTTCTTCAATAGTCATGCAAAGCAGCAAAAGCCTAAAAAGGGAAAGTATTGTGTACGACAGTATCAGTACTACCAAAAAACTACTAACCAGTAGTGGAAATTTGGAAATGGTAAAGATATGCATAAAACAGAGAGAACCAAAATTGGAGTTTTAGTTGAATTATATTGGCTGTTGTGAAACTTGATTTATTAATGTATCATTTTCCTTTTTTCTTTTTGTTTTTTTTTCTCTTTTGGTGGAAATGCATTTTGTTTTCCACTTGCTACATTAGACCGAGCTGGTTCATCAATTTTCAAACATCATGACTAAAAAAATATGAAATGGTATCTATTTTAGGCACCAAATTCTTCTCCCTCCTCCGCCCTTTTAGTGACCGATGGCGAATGAATGTGGAGTTTCAGATTTATAACCCAAGAAAAAAGAAAAAAGAAAGAGTTATGAATATGCTCTTAGGAAAACCTATATCCTACAACTAAACGAGTGTTAAGTTCTAATGTACCACCGAGAGCCGTGGTATATTGATAAGGACGTCTTTGTTAAGTCTCTTCTACTCATCTATTAAGGGTTTGAGTCTCTATTCCTGCCGAAGGTTGTTCAGTCCCTTTGGAGAAATTAAGTGAGTTACACTATAGATAAAATGAGTAAAAACTAAGTGGATGATCAGAGACTAGTTTAGACCATTTCTATATACTCGGTGATACTCAAAATTACTGCTATAACCGAAGAAGTTACGAGACATGAAATGCAGTACCAAATCCTTTTTTTATTAGCAAAAAGTTCAAAAAATGCAATTTGACTGAAAAATGGTGAGGTCCTACATATTCAATGACCACATTGCAGAGCAACCCATAAATCAAAAGGGTGAACCAACAACAGAATACGAGTAAAATCTTTAGAGAGAAATAAAAATAAAATAAAAGGTAAGGTCTTGGGCGAAAACAGTTTGTTTTTGCTGCCAAATGGTGTTGTGAATCAAACGATTCATTTGTGTCCATAAAATGGCGAAACGCATTGTTATAACTTACAGCCAAGTTCTCCTAGAGTCCAACAGGTTGACTTCATAGCCAGAATTTTACTCATTTGCATTAAAAAAACCCCCTCATGAATTTTTGATCAAACAAGTCGTATACTCTCATTCCACATCCAAATGATAGGCCCTTCCAAAAATCACCAAAAAAAAAAAATGACAAAACTGCTGATTGATACACTAACACGAGAGAAACAAAAGCAACTATTAACCACTTCAGTTATTGGTCTCACAAAGCTTGCGGATAAACCATTCCCAACTTCTACAACCATTCTATATCCATCTCATTACAAGTTTTCATGTTAAGACACTAACAATTTCATAAAAACTCTTAAGGCCAAGACACTACTAATTCATAAGCAAAACTTGCCCTCCATTTTTAATCACAAAACGATTATGGTTCTAACACACAAGTTTATTGCTTTTGCGTGTCTTTACTAGCCACCTCCAATCCATTCCCTGCGCATTGTAAGAACATGATATCAGGAAATTCCATATATATATATATATATATCAACAATTTCCATTATTCACAATAGCAAATGCCCAAAAAAAAAAACTCGATAATTTTTAAGTATAAATAATTACCATCTGGATCAAAGAAGAAAACTTGCTTCACTCCACGACTTGGCACAGAACTCTGAAATGTCTCGACTCCCTTGTCCTGAAAAAAAAAAAAAAACTAATTTTCATTCCGATTGAAGACACAGATAATCAAATCGAAGACGCTAGTTTCAAGAATATGCCTTGAGAGTTTGGACAAAAGAATCGAAATTGTCGACGGAGAAGCAGATGTGGTGGCCTCTGGGGAGATGGCTGGGGTCGGCGACGGCCGACGTGGCGCTCCAAGGACCTTCTGGAAGCTTCGTGGCCGGATTTCTCTCGATGAGGTGGAGAGAGAAAGCCGACGGCAGATTCAGCCATATAACCTTGAATTCGCCGAAGTTCGGAGTCTCTATCTCCTCGAACCCAAATATCTAATTATATATTATAATAATACAAATTCTTCTGAACTTTCCAAAAAAAAAAAACCTAATTATGAAAGCGAAAAGAAAGGTAATTTTGAAGAACCTCTTTGTAGAAATTAGCGAGGCGTGTGACGTCGGAGGATTCTCGGGAAATATGGTTGAGGCTCACTCCTTTAGCTGCGGCCATTTTATCTCCAGAGAGAAGAAAAGAAGTGGGTTTGGCGAGGGAACCTCTCCTTATAACTTTTTGGTTTCTTGCTGAGAATTTCGTTAAAATAACTAAGTGAAAAAGTAAAATTAAAAAAATGACTTTTTTAATTTTAATTTTATTTATTTCTCCTTTTGTCGATCTTTTTTTGTCAGAATCAATGGCAACTCCTCCCGTCAGTCTCTTTCCACCAGAATCAGTGGCAGCACTCTATTTCTCTCTCTTATTTTCTTTCTCTCTCCCTAAAAGGCTGAGACCCACCTCTAGAATCACGTTGAGAATAGCCCTGGTGACGACGCCGGCGAGGTTCAGGGCTCTGAACGTGCTGTTGATTGCGCCGTTCACGATCGCGACGTTGAGGCTTGAGAAGGTCGAGAACGTGGCCGCCGAGAATGGCCCGGGCGACGACGCCGGTGAGGTTCAGGGCTCTGAACGTGCCATTGATCGTGCCGTTCACGATCGCGGCGTCGAGGCTCGAGAAGGTCGAGAACGTGGCGGCTCGGATCGAGCTGAGTAGTGAATCCGTGGGTGGGGTGAAGTTCTGATTTTTTTTTCGTTTTTCTTTCTTCTCAGAAAGTCATTTTACAAATAAAAATTTTTGAAAAGTTATTTTACTAATACAACTTTCCTATTGAGTTATTTTTACAAAGGTGCTTCAACTTTTAACTTTCTGTTCTTCCGTTTCGCTGGAGCCTGAGTTACACAACACGTGGACTGGATGATTTTTTTTAACTATTTTTGTAACGGAGATGCAAAATTCATTTCCACAATTATTTAAAGATGTTTGAATTCATTTTAAAAAGAAACATGTATAAAGATAATAATTGATCAAAAAAATTAAGTGAAAAATTAGTTTAACCTATCAAAAATAAAATAAGAACATATGTGAGAAAAATTATTTTGATAGGAGTAAAATGAAGAGCAACATATTTTTTAAAAACGCGCAAAAAATTAAATATAAAAAATTTAAAAAATAAAGATAAAAAAGATAAAGAAAAAGGAAAAAAAGAGAGTCAAGTGAAAAGGATTGTCACGTGACAGCCTTATTGAAAAAAAAATAGCTCTTTTATGTATTGTTGGATAAAATAATGTTTGAAGTTGAAGTAAAACAAGAAGAAAAGCTGCTTAATAACAATAGGTTGAAAAGAAAATATATCATCGGAAAAGCGATACAAAATTGAAAAAAGAAATGAAAAATGACATCACTTGTAAAACGACAATAACATTTAAAACGACATAAATAAGGATGACACAACATCTAACACAAAAATAGTAATAACCTTATAAAAACAATGTCTGATTGAAACTGGAGAAAAACGACACACGGAAATGACAATAACCGAAAAACGACATCATGAGGAAAAGTTAGCGGATAAGATATAAAGCAAACTAGGGATGACAATGGGGCGGGGTGGGGACGGATATGCTTCCCCCACCCTCATACCCTATGTGATGCCCAGAATTTTCACATACTTGTTAGTCAATACATTGCATAATGTCATGATACTGTGAATATGATTTATATGTTTGATTAGTTATTCATATGCATTGTTATAGTAATAATGTGTGTTGTGGGGTAAAATCTTAAGTCTCATATGAAGCAATGACTAGGCGCCACGTGGTATGATTAAAGTATAAAATAATTAAGACATAAAGATACGGAGTGACGGTAGAGCGCACTGGATGAACGTCGACCCTTAGCAGTCAAGTATCCCCGTCAAAAGAGTTGATTAGAAGGAACAAGGTCCACACTGTGAAGACGAATGCTTCACTGGCCATGAACGAAGAGCGCTTCCAAAGAGCCAAAGGCGACGAACCCACCCACGTCCAGATTGAAGTACTACTGTGCAAGGATTTGACGTGCATTAAATGCATGCAGAGTAGGTGGTGAAGCCGGTAGAGAAAGTTAGGTAGATTGGCTGAAATCTCAGTGATAAGAGATTACTGTTCCGGAGTAAGGTGAAGATATCACGGGATTTGATTAGATGGTTAACAACTGACAGAAATGACATGATGTATATAAGCAGAAAGGATGGGCTGAAAGGGGGTCGGATTGTTGAACACCCTTTCCCCATAACTTGTATTTTCTCTACCAAGAATAGTGAAAAACTCAGTGGACGTAGCTCTATATTGGAGTGAACCACTATAAAATTAGTGTGTTGATTTCGTTTATTTTCTTCTTATAATTCGCGTTGAGTTTATTTAATCCGAGCATAAATCACAGAAAACCTGTTATTAACCTGCTGGCTAATTTTTACCGTCAACAATGTGCATTAAGTGTCAAAGGTGCATTAGGTAATTTATTGTGCATATTGTATTGTTGAATGGCAGGGTTTCTTGAAGGCGGATCTGGTAAGTGAAGAAATGCAAAGGAAGATATGATTATGGATTTTATGAAATTGTGAGGAATCTAGTAAGTTATGGAGCTCAAATATAGTTATAAGGTGCAAAATTGATGAAAACATTCAGTTTTGAGAGAAACAACAAAGTTGGTGTGAGTTTCTGCAGAGTTAAATGGGCCCACTATAACAAGTAAACTATTACAGTGATGTCATAAAGGAATAAGATCAATAGTGAGAAGGTGACACGAATTTTACACGAGTTTTTGTTGTTAGAATACCTTAGAAATCCTAGTTCTACACGATTTTCGGTAATCAGGTTCTGGAGTTCCAATTAGGATTTTATCCTTTATTTTATGTTTAAGTGTATTTGGTGGAATTCTAAAAGGAATGATCAAGTTTCAATAATGAACGGTTAAGAAATTCTAAGACATAGTTTTTAGTATAACGAATTTTTCAGAGCGAGTATATATATGTACCTAATTCAGTAAGTAATATAAATGGCTAAGACCTAGGTTGTAAATTGGATTGTGTGTGAATATTAAACACCTAATTAAGGAGGTGACTAGGCTGAAAATTGTGACACTAACTCAGCTGTAGTAAGACTACTTCATGATGAAGTAGTTTAAGGTGCTGACTTGGTTGTTTAAATAGGATACCAAGCAAGTTGGTTTCATTTGCAGCACCAAAACTCCAAAGTCCAACCTTCTATTTTCTCAGCACTATTTTGAGCCTAGGGTTTTGAGGAATAAGGCCTCCTTCGCTTCACGAATTTGAGTTTTCAATTCAAGCTTGGATGTGACATTTTCTTAGAGCTTTTAACTGTAGCAGAATGTGACATTTTCTGAAAGCTTTTAACTGTAGAAACCTAAAATTAAAAACTCGAATTGGTGAAATGAACAAGGCCTAAGTAAATTTCTTAGTGGCTTAACAAGTTTTGGTGGGAGAATCACAAGAAAACCTAAGCTAGATCAAGGTAAGAGACAGTTTGATTTGGCTCTATTTTGATGATGATTCAGAGGGTTTTGTTTATAGTGAGGCCATGATTTTTGAGATATAAGATCTTTTATATGTTAGGTTGAAGCCTATAAAAAGGTACGAGCTAACTCAATTGGAAGATGGTGGTTTGAAACTCGTTTTCTTGGAGCTATCAAGATTAAGCTCAGTTTTTATTATGCTTCAGGTTTTTATTTATTTACCTAGGCTACGAAGCTCAAATGAAGCTGAAAATTTGACGATATCTCACTTTATATGTTGAATAAATGCTCCTAAAATAATTTTAAAAATATCCTTGTAGTTTGAGAGTTATGGTTTTAACATTAGGACTGGTTCTAGAGAATTTTGGTGGTTTTGTGATAATTTTGTAATTTTGGGTTATTTTTTTATATTAATTTATTTTTAGGAGATTAGCAGGTATGTTAAGCTAAAATGAAGGAGAAACCATGGTAAAATTTTTGAGGGGGTTTGGGATTCATTTGTGGCCAAGAAAGGCCCTTTTGGCCAACTAGGCGCATCAGGCGCCCAAAGTGTACTCTCGTGGGGCGCAGCGTACGCACAAGCCAGCCGTGTGCTCAACGTGCGCACACAGCCTTGCCAGTGCGTACATGCAGCCTTGTTGCGTGCCCAACCGGCCAACAATGGCCAAAATGACATTTTATGGATTTTGTGACTTTCCTAAGTATTTTAAGAATAATTTGACACCAAAATTGTTTAGACATTATTTTGACTAAAATTAATTGTTAAGTATTATTTTGATTAATTAGATATTATAAAAAAGCTAGAAAATTAGAAAAATTCTTTGCCTTGTCAAAATTAAGAATTTCATCTATTTTTCATCATTATGATTTAAGGACTTGATATATGGCTAATGGTGAGGATTAGGCTTTGAATAATAGCTTATAATAGGAAAATGAGCTCCTTAATAATTTATTGTTAATGATTTGTTGAAGTGACAATAATATGATTAAAAGAGGAAGTCCGAGAATCTTATATAATATACGATGGTATTAGGTAAGTAGAATTTTACCTGCATCATCATAATTACTGTGTAAAGAAAATGTGTACTGATATGTGGAAATAGTTTGCATTGTATTACATGTTGCACATCTTATGATTATGATCACTTACAAGCATGTAAGAAAGATATGTCAAGCATGAAATTGATTTTATAGGTGGCATGTGATGGGACTTTAAGCGTCTGGGACACAATATTAGGCATTTAGAATTCAATGTGATTCATTAAGCATCTGGGACACGCTATTAGGCATCCAGGATGCCATGTGACATATAAAGCGTTTGGGACGCCAATTGATTAAGCATTTGGAATGCACCTTTATCCCATCCAAGAAACCTTAAATAGTATGCACACTAAGTTAAAGATATGAAGAAGTAAAAGGAAAGAAAAAGTGAAATGATGAGATGAAAAGTTAAAGAGATGAAAAATATGTCAAATAAGATCATGCATTCATATGCTATTCATGCTAACATTATTTTACTTATTGGGCTTTAGCTCATTCATTTTATAGTGATGCAGATGAGGGCATTTTCCAGCACTAGTTGAGGACTAGATGGTTAGCTGGCGTACTCCTGATCTCATGGAATTGTATATATGGACTAACTGACCTGTCATTTTGAGGCCCTGATATTTTTATAGTTTTGAGAGCTTGTAGTGGCTATATTTAGTAC